CAAGGAGCAGCACGAGGGGACAGCTTGTCGGCAGACAAGTCGCGGACAAACGTCCGAGATCCCCAGACCCGAAACGCCGACGCATCGCCAACCTTCCCCGTCCACAGCAAGGCTGGGGAGGTCTCCGGCCTGGAGACCCTGGGGTGAAGGTTGATCTGATGCGCCGCGTACCTGACCGCAAACGGCCACAGAAAATGGGGGGCAGCCGCATGCATCATAGACATACGAGCGACGTCCATGACCATGCCAATGCGGCGCTCAGCAATCCCATTTTGCTGCGGAGAGTCCGGAAGCGTGAAGGTCTGACGGATGCCTCGTGCACGACAGTAGGCTCGCAGAAGGCCAGAGGAGAACTCTCCGCCTCTGTCCGAGTGCAGACGCAGAACAGGAAAGTCCGAGCCAAAGCTCTGCCTGAGCTGGAAACGAGCTGCGCGGATCTTGTCGATCAGCACCTCAGTGACATCACCCTTGCTGTGCAAGGGGAAGACTGCGGTGTAACGCGAGTAGTCGTCAACAACGAGCAGGAAGTAGCGCTCGTGACCCTGCCCACGGACGCGGGCTGGGCCCCACACGTCCATGTGAAGCGTCTGCAACGAGGCCTCTGTCGGAGGAAACTGGGAGGAGTGAGGGGCAGCATGCTAGCGCCCCTCGACACAGGGGACACAGGTAGGGCCAGGGCCCTGAGGAAGGGGAGGGATGGACCGGGGGAGACCAGACACTAGAAGACGGGAGGCCATGCCTCTGAGCCGAAGCAGAGAGGGGTGACCAAGACGGTGGTGCCAAAGGAGAGTCTCGTGAGACAGGAGACGACACGAACAGGGGGCAGCTCAGGACCAGACCTGGACGCTGCAGCAAACACCTGACCTGACGCAGCGACCCTACCAGACTCAGCAACGGGAGGAGACGCAGTGGTCAGTGTGTACAGGCTCGACCCCGGCTGACGGGTAAATGTAGCCAGGTGTCAGCCTGTGCTAGCCTCTGTACAGTGCGTCACCCGCTGACGCGCAAGAGTGAACTGGTGTACACCCGCATCCTGTAGGTCAGCACCACTCACCAGGTTCGTAGAGAACGAGCGGAGGTAGAGACCAGACAGGGTGCCAGAGGGAGCCGCCGGACACGGGAGGACTGTGGAGAAGCGAGACAGGACAGGACCCCCAGAGGGGTTAGCCAGAGACACTGCAACCGGCCGACTCAGTGGCGTGAGTGTGGTGCGGTCCCGAAAGAAGGAGCGAGACGCCACAGAGTCAAGGGTGAAGGTGAGGGAGGCCGAAGCCGACGTAGTACCTGAGAGCGCCGACTCACCAGTACCTGAGGACGCAGACACAATAGTACCTAGAGCAGCAGCGTCGCCAGCACCTAGGGCAGCGGCCTCACCACTACCTAGAGTAGCAGTCTCAATGCCCGGATAGGGTGGGAAACACCGGTAACAGTCACCCTCATCACTAATAGACACAGCATACATGGCAGAGAGAATAGCATCAAAGTCAAGATCATAGACGGCAACACCCGCCCTAGACAGCTCGCCCCAGCGAGGGATCTTTGAGGCCTCCGGGAACTGGTGACGCCACGCATCCGTCAGGCGGCCAAAGCAGCGCTGAGTGGGGTGGGCTCCCCCACACTGCTCACCCGCACGGTCGCCGGTGTGCAAAACGTAGGAGCACGGACCAAAACCCCCACCCCGCTCGCGTTCAGTGTACCACTCACGGAGCTGCTGAGGGGAGAGGGTCTCACGACCGCGCTGCTGCTGCTGGCGCGAGCCACCACCAGAGCCACTCCTCTGCGAAGACCCGCGACCAGCTCCACCGCCACCCCCGCCGCCTCCGCCGCCTCCGCTGCCTCCGCCGCCTCCGCTACTGCCGCCGCCTCTGCCTCCGCCTCCACCGCCGCCACCTCCGCCACCTCCGCTCCCACCGCCACTGCCGCCGCCACCTCCGCCTCCACTGCCGCCACCGACCCCTCCACTCCCACCTCCACTCCCACCGCCACCCCCACTCCCCCCACTGCCGCCACCTCCACCTCCACCGCCCCCGCTCGCTCCTCCAGCGCCCTTGCCCCCCTTGCCCTTGCCAGAACGGCGTCTCTCGCTAGGGGCAGACGCCGCACCGACCGACTCAAGACCAAGGAGGTTGGCCGCAGTAGCAGAGGCAACAGAGGGCAGAAGGGGGGAGGGGGAACACCCCTCAAAGATGGGGGTGCGCGGGTCACCCCGAGAGGCTCCTACAGCGACTATGCTCTTCTCTATCGCTAGGAGAGCCTTCTTGAGGAGGTCGATAGTGAAAGTGGTGGGACAGACAGAGAGGAAGTGGTCCCTGACTACACGAAGGGAGTCAGGGAGGCGAGTGACTATGTAGTTAAGAATGATGTACATGTGGGGGGTGTTCTTGGCGCAGAAGTCAGCAGGAAGTGCAGCGCGGTAGCGAGTGTCACTAGTGCGGAGGTGCGTAATGAGGTCAGCTACTGTGGGAAAGGCAGCAAGGTCAGGGAAGAGGTACGGTAGCATGAGACGGCTCAGTGCAACAGTGGCAGGGGAGGAGTAGCGCGCAACTACAGCGTCGTACAAGGTCTGAGCACTCTTGTACTGACTAAAGTGCGCACGCTCGGAGGTAGGGAGGTGGCGACGCACAGCAAGACGTGCAGAAGCGTCGCGCGTGGCCCATAGGGAGCGAACAGTGGCGTCAGCATCAGCAGCAGGGGCAGGGGAAGCGCCAGAGGTGAGGTCAAAGAGAGAGAGGCCGTCTGCCCTATCGCACTGTAAGAACAGCAGTAGGTCATCTACCCAGACCTCAAAGTCAATGGCCCTACCCTCAGCATCAAAGGCGAGGACACTAGGGGTAGCCATGACCCTAGACGACTAGCAATGCAAACAGTAGGGTGAGGGCAGTGCAGTGACAAAGGGGCTGTGCTCACCAGACTGGGCAGGTCAGGCGGCCCGGAAGTAGGGCATCTCGGCTGCTGGGCGGCTCGGCTGCTGGGCGGCTCGGCGGCTCGGCGGCTCTGCTGTTGGGCGGCTCGGCTGCTGGGCAGCTCGGCTGCTGGGCGGCTCGGCTGCAGGGCGGCTCGGCTGCTGGCGGCTCGGCTGTTGGGCGGCTCAGCTGCTGGGCGGCTCGGCTGCTGGGCGGCTCGGCTGCTCTGTTGTCGGGCGGCTCGGTTGTGTTGCTGTAGGGCGGCGCGGCGGTGCGGCAGGTGACGGGGCCGAGAGTGAGGCGGCGGGGCTGCAGGTAGGGTGGCGGGACCGCTGAGTTAGGCGGCGAGGCCGCAGGTAGGGTGGCGGGGCCGCTGAGTGAGGCGGCGGGGCCGAGAGTGAGGCGGCGGGGCCGCAGGTAGAGTGGCGGGGCCGCTGATAGGGTGGCCGGGCCGTAGGTAGGGCGGCGGGGCCGCAGGTAGGGTAGGGCGGCGGAGCCACGGGTAGGGTGGCGGGGCCGCAGGTAAGGTGGCAGAGCCGCGGGTAGGGGCCGCACGTGACGCCGCAAAGGGCGGCGACGGGCCGGTACGGGCGGCGACGGGCCTGGACAGGCGGCGCACGGGCCGGTATGGGCGGCGACGAGCCGGGACAGGCGGCACACGGGCGGCGAAAAGCCGGGACAGGCGGCGACGGGCCGGGGCGGGCACCGCACGGGCAGCGACGGGCCGGGACAGGCGGCGACGGGCCGGGGCAGGCGGCGACGGGCCGGGACTGGCGGCGACGGGCCGGGGCGGGCACCGCAGGGGCGGCGACGGGCCGGGACAGCGGCGCGGGGCCGGGACGGGCGGCTAAAGGGCGGCGTCGGGCCGCGTAGGGTGGCGACGGGCCGCTAAGGGCGGCGAGGAAGGTCGCTAGGGGCGACACGACGGGGCCGAAGGAGGCCTAAGCGAGGCTCGCTCCGGGCAGGAAAAAAATTTCGATTTTGGTGGGCCCTAGGAACAGTTCCCACGAGGGAACCTGCTCGATACCATGAGAAGAAACGAGAATGATTGAACTATGAATGAAGTGGGTACAAGTATTAACCCTAATTGGGTTGTACCCCCTATGGGATACCCCACTACAGCCTACACAAAAGTATAAGCTATAATGTTCTGACATAAGGTGCACCTATAAATCAAAACACAACCCCTCCAGCGAATGAAGCCTTGGCCTTCGCAGCCATCACTCGCATGTCGATGCGCTCAAGGCTCTCATGCAGCTGCAAGCTTGGGAGAGCTTTGGTGAGCATGTTGGCATCATGGAGGTGGGAGCGTACTGAGTGCACCTCGACGTCCTGCTGGCGCACCGCATCCTGTACAAAGTGCCATGCCACCTTAATGTGTTTGGTGCGCTGATGGAGAACGGGATTGTGGGCAAGGGAGACAGCAGCCTCATTATCACAGAACAATGGAATAGCCCCCCCATCCCCCACATGCATCTCTGCCAGCAAACTCCTCAACCAAATGGCCTCCTTGGCCCCCTCCAATAGAGCTTTATACTCAGCTTGAGAAACGCTTGCTGCAACACTGTCTTGCTTTTTGCTATACCAGCTAATAGCTCCTCCTCCCAACTTAAAGATGTAGGCAGAACGACTCTTGCCATCAGTCTCACCACCCCAATCCGAGTCAGTGTACCCAACAACCTGCTGACCACCTTGGCGTTCATAACTGATGACACGATCAGCTGTGTTGACCAAGTACCCGAGTGCTCTCAGTACAGCGCGCATGTGAATGCGTCTCGGTGCCACACAAGACTGTGCAAGGGTGTTGACAGTGAAGGACATGTCAAGACGGATAGTCACAGCAGCATACATCAAGCTTCCAAACACCTTGACATCAGCTGTAGCACCTTCCTAAGTCGACCAAGTACCATTCCTGATCTTAGAGAGATCATTGGGTGACATTGGAGTATGCACCTTATGGGTCTCCTTCAGCAGATCACCAAACCTTCCCTGGAGACCATGGACATACTTCTCCTGACCAATCTCCAACCACCCATCCTTGACCGACCTGCGAACCTCCACACCAAGGTACGTGGATACCTCACCTAGTTCCTTCATCTAGTACCTCTTAGCAAGCACCTCCTTGACCTGACCGATCAGCTCCAAGCGTGGAGACACAAACAAGAGGTCATCCACATACACCAATACATACACTGGCTCTTCATCCACAAACCCGATGTACAGAGCCTCATCGTATGCACTGCGGTCAAACCCTGCTAAAATCAGGGTGGTACCAATCTCCTCATTCCAAGCACGAGGCCCTTGCTTGAGCCCATAGAGAGCTTTGCGCAAGCAATACACCCTACCTGTACGATAATCAAATCCCTCAGGTTGTCTCACATACACCTCCTTTTGAAGGACTACATTGAGGTAAGCATGATCAACATCCTCTTGTTGTACATGCCACCCTTTTACCGCGACTTTTGCAAGAAGCACCCGACCTGAGGTGAGCTTGCCCACAGGGGCAAATACCTGATCATAGTCCTTCTCGGGCTCTTGCGTGTACCCCTTAGCAATAAGGCGAACCTTGTGCTGTACCACCTTATCCTCCTTGTCCGTTTTCCTGCGGAAATCATACCTGACCCCAATGGCCTTCTTACCTGGAGGTAAGTCGACCGGCTCTGGATCCCATACACCCATAGTGCGCATTGCATTTACCTCCTTCTCAGCGCCTGCCTTCCACGCAGGGCCCTCACGGCCACGCAGTGCCTTAGTGAGTGTGTGTGGGACATCACTGTTGCTCACACCTGCTAGTGCAACACCCTCCACCTCCTTGACCAAACACAGCATGCCCTCAACCACACCAGCATCCCCCCCTACCTCCTCACCACCTGTACCAGATTGGATACCAAGCACGTGCAAACCCGTAACCGGTGGTGGGGAGGTAGTCGCTGGTGACGTAGGTGCACCCGTAGAGAGGGGGACAGAGCACTGACCAGAGGAGGAGGAAGAGGAAGTAGCATGTGTAGCGGATCGGCGCTGAATGACCGAGGGGCCACTGAGCTGCTGCAGAGGGGTGGGCTGCTGTTGCAGCGACACACCGAGCGGTGCCGGTGGCAGTGATGAAGGTGGCATCTCAGCGTCGTCAACTGTTTCTGAGGGTTGCGAGAGTGGAAGAGGGAGGAGTTGGGAAATCTCAGCTGCATCCTTCAGAAGCTCCCCAAATCCCTTTGCCTTGTCTCAATCCTTCCACATCATATTTTCAAGAAAATCAACATCCCGAGCAATGCGAATGCGCATGAGAGAACGGTCCAGCATGCGCCAACCCTTGCTCTCCATGTCCACCCCAACACAGTCCGTGCATCAAGCTTGCCACCCTTCTCATGCCCATGCAACATGACACTCCCCATGCAACCCCAAATCCGAGCCATGCCCACATGCGGCTTCTGGCCGGACCATGCCTCCATTGGTGTGATGGAGGCAGGCAAAGCATTGCGAGTGACCCTGTTCTTAACCCACATGACCCACATCAATGCTTCACCCCACAAGCGAGCAGGGAGACCACTGTCGACCAACAATGTGCGAATCCCCTCTGCCATCGTCCTGTGCCACCTCTCCACGACCCCATTCTGCTGCGGTGTATCTGCGACGCTCAATTGCGTTTTAATGCCAAACTCCGCCTTCCATGCTTTCACAGCGTCGCCCAAGAACTCGCCGCCCCTATCTGAGCGAACAGCCTTCAGCTTCCGCCCACACTCCAACTCCACGTCCTTATGCCACTGTCGAAGAACTTTTGCAACTGTGGCTGATTCTTTGTTGGGGAGTGGGAACGACCAAACTCGTCTGGTGAAGTCTTCAATGAGGCTGAGGACATACACCGCTCCTCCCAGTGACGGTGTACGCACTGACCCCCCACAAGTCCATATGGACCCCATCCAAAGGCCCAAATGCCCGAGACGCCTCATGGGGAAACGGCCTTCGAGCCGACTTTCCCAATAAGCAAGGCTCACATGGAGAGCAATCAGTGCCCCCCCCCACCAATCTCCAAGCCCAGTACACTGTTCCCCCGAGCCATCTGTTGCAGTGTTGTGGGGGCGGTATGACCAAGGCGGCGGTGAGCAAGGGTCAATAGGGAAAATGAGGAGGAGGATCCAGCAGCAAGAGCACTGCCCTGTGTGCCCCGAGCAAGAGGAAGAGACATCCGCACCAAACCATGGTCCCTTCCCCCCCCTTTTCACCAATCGCCAACACCCTCTCTCCCCGTTTGATAACACATCTCTTGCCCTGGAATGTGACGATGACATCCCGAGAGGTGAGGTGTGGGACTTACAGCAGACGTGTGTGCATCTCAGGCACAAGGTGGACCTTTTGAATCCTCAGCAGCTGACCTCCAGCACCAACCACTGGCACCTCACCCATGCCAACAGCTTTTACCACCCGTCCATCTCCCAATCTAACTCCCCGAATCTCAGGTGGCTCAAACTTACTCTTGAAGTCGGATGCATAAGGAGTAAAGTTGTGGCCGGCTCCACTGTCAATCCACCACCCCTCTCGCTTCTGCTCCCCTCCTACTGCTGCAACTGCCTCTCCAACCACTACCTCTGCCTTGTTATCCTGCTCCTCCTCATCCGCCACATGTGCCTTGCCGTTGGACCCACGACCCCCCCGCTGTAAGAATGTAGGAATGCCTCCCTTAGGTCGGTGAGGACATCGCTGCCATGCATGTCCCTCATCCCAACAGCCATGACACAACCCCCTAGGAGCCATGCCCTTGGACCCCCAAGGGAAATCAAGCACTCCTGCTTTGCCTTTCCCTTGACCCCATATGCCCGAGTTGGTGCCGCTGATGTTACCGCTGCCTCCATGTTTTCCTCCCTTGTCCCAATTTCCCCTGCCGATGCTGCCCACTTTCGTACCCGCTCCAAAAGTGGCAACACCATCCGATCTTGGTGCGACACCAATCCGCATCTCATCGCTCCTCAAAGAGGTAAGCAACTGATCCTTAGTAAGCGATGGTGATTGGTTGTTCAGCACTACCTTCAGCATCTCAAAGTGAGGAGGTAGTCCTTTGAGTACCCTCATCATCCACTCCTCAACCTCCTCCTTCCCTCCTGCAGCCAAGTACTTGGACTTTAAGTCCTCGGCACGCGCCCAGTATACAGCCACTCCCTCCCCTTCTTTCATCTTCAAGGAAGAGAGCTCCTCAGAGAGTGCCATCCGGTTACACAATCCACGCTGAAGGTAGAACCCCTTCACTCGTGTGTATGCCGCTGCTATGCCTGCAGGAACTCGGGTGACCGCTCTTGCTCTGCCATCAACAGGTGCGCTGCCCAACTCGGTCTTGCCGCCGAACTCCCGTACCAAGCGAATCAGCTCATCTGGCACCAAGGCATTGCAGAATTGGGCGAATGCCTTCTGATTTCTCCTCTCCCACTTTAGACGTGCGTCACCCGATGCAGGTCGCTCCTCCGAACCATCAAAGTACCCCCATAGATCGTGTGCCTCTGCCCATTGCTCAAACCGGAAGCTCCAACTCCAATAGTCGCTCCTGTCGAACTTTGGCGCACTTTCCAGCTTCCCTTCGCCTGATTCATGATCCATTTGCGGCAGAAGCACTGAAGATTGACTTTGAGGTGGTGGTGGAGGCAACGGCAGTGACGGTGAAGATGATGCGGGCAGATTCACACCCTCATGGTTATTAGAGCGTAACTCCGCGCTCGAATGTCCGAATAATGAGCCGTTTGGCTCAGATGAATCCTTGCTCCAATACCGTTCCGATGATGTATTGCCCTCTTGGATTCTGCGTTCGAGCTGACCGCAACAGAATGGGCGAGCCTGTGGCGGAGCTCACCGTTGCGTCTGCTCTTTGTACGATTCCTTCGGAGCCGATCGCCTGTTGACCCGTTGAGCAATCTGCGGTTGTAGTGGGGTGATGATGTTAGGCGAATGAGGCAGCAGGAGTGTGTCGCACATGTTAGGGTTACGCGCATGTGGGTTACTCCTGAGCTATCGCCGCTAATGCCGCTAATGATCGCGGCAGGGCGAATGCCGCTTTTGCGGCAAGGTCCTCCAAATGCGGTAGCCCTAACTGCGATGGCGCTTATGCGGTGACCCGAATGCATGGGTGCGGCTCGACGCAGAGATCGCGACTGCACATTTGAGCGCGGCGCGTGTGCAAGGTAAGAGAGCTCGAAGTTGTGTGCGTCACGCTTCGTGGGTCGCGGTGGACTTTGTAACCCCATTCCCGCTGGTGCATCTAGCAGCCGTCGTGAGACTCTGTGTTACGATTCGGTCCCGGTGGGCACCCGAGTTGTAGAACTAAACCACTGGTCGACTGCATGAGCAAGATTTCTAGGCATGAACGTGAATTGAGACACTAGTCATTTCCGCCATATCAGCCCTCCATCCTTCGATTCCTCGTGTTTCGACACTGATTTATGGCTACACGCTTCACTCCCCCCCCCTCCCGGATTTCCCCCAATCCGCCCAAACGGTCTGCACCGCTTTTTATTATCGGCTTGTATACCTAGTCCCGCTCACACGACCGTGTGTTCCGTTCCACACCCCTACGCTAGACAATGTCGACTTAGCGACTGTCTAATACGAGTCCCTTTTGTGTGACACTTTCAGTGCGTCCTTGCCCTGATGTATAGTGGCCGAGTGGCTAGTTATTAGCGTCTAATAGTGTGTTGTAGAACTCGGGAAAAACGGGAGGCAATTTAAGACAGGTTTCCCATGCATCTGTGGTGCTGCCAATGAATTCACTCTCTTCTGCGACAGTTTGTTGTTGGGCGACAGATTGGGGGTGGGTCGATGCTCCTGTGCGATGTTGGGAATTGGGGCTGCTTTGGTGCTACAGTAATTTTGTTCGCGCAAAAGGTTTGCTCTTCCCTCTCCCGTGTTCGAAGTTGGCTCTGTTGGTCACAGAGTTACATCCAACCAACTTTAGGAACCATGAACCAATTTCGCCCTTCTTGACCCACGGGTTTTAAACTCGTCGAAGTTGGCCGATTTTCCGTCGACGAAGACTCGGCCGTTTCTCCCGATTTTTGGCTTGTTGGATGCGCCCTGGCCTCCTCTGTCGGCGTCTGCCCTCCAATATTTTTTCCGTGCTTTAAATCTTCCTTGATTCGCGATTTTCCAATTCGTCCGCCGACTGTATTTTACGAATTGCGTCCGATCCGCTCGTCAATTTGTGACGACGCCGAGGCATTAGTTGTAGATCATATTGAGGGCTTTCCAACGATGTGCTGCACGCATTGATCTGCCAACATTGACCGAGCCTCTCCGTGAATGGATGTCGCTCCTCTCGTCCTCCCAAACGGATCCACTCGATTTCAAGCGGATTTCTTCTCTCCTCCTCCCCGCCCACGTCCAGAGTCCGCCGCGGTGCAATTTCGGCAGCCCTTCGGGAGGGATGGAAGCTATTTAGCTTCCTCCAAGGTATTATGATCCAATTTCTTGAGTAGCTCCTATTCCAACAGATTGCTAGGCCTTCCTAGCTCTGATACCATGTTAGAATGGACTAAGCTACTAGCGGAAGCTTTAGTAGTCTTAGAACCTCCTCCTAAAGCCTAGGAATCTTAGGAGCCCACTCGGGCATGAACCATGCTAGAAGCAAAGTAGTTTCCAAGAAGTGAAGCTCCAACAATAGAGAACCCTAACCTATAGAGTTTGGGAGGTGGTCCACTCTAAAGAGTGTACACCACAAGTTCTCCCAACCCAACCAATGTATTCTACACTACTATAGTGTAGATGTACCACTACATATGTTTATTGGAGCAACTCGAATTAACCTTAATTCCAACACCCATTACCCTTCCTGTGAAAAGGTAACTGAAAAAAGCGGCCGCTAGAAAGGGCATTTTACTCTGATATTGAGAGCCCTGGTGCCAAAGCTCTGTGCACCGTCACAGAATCGCTCTCGCGCAATTCTGTCAGAACATTATAGCGTATACTTCTGTGTAGGCTGTAGTGGGGTAGCCCATAAGGGGTACAACCCAATTAGGGTTAGTACTTGTACCCAACTGTTTCATAGTTCAATCATTATCTCGTTCATTTTCTCATGGTATCGAGCAGGTTCCCCTGTGGGAACTGTTCCTAGGGCCCACCACCTTTTTTTCCTGCCCAGAGCGCGCTCAGACTCTGCCCGAGTCGCGCTCCTCTCTCACGGCCCCGTCGCGCCGCCCTTTTGACCCTGTCGCGTCGCCTTAGTGGCCCCGTCGCGTCGCGCTTGCGGCCCCGTCGCGTCGCCCTCGTGGCCCTGTCACGTCGCACCGCCCTAACGGCCGTGTCGCGCCGCCCTCCCGGCCCCGATCCGCCCCCCTTGCGGCTCCGTCGCGACGTGCCGCCCTCGCGGCCCTTTCGTGCCGCCCTCGCGGCCCTTTCGTGCTGCCCTCGTGGCCTCTTCTAGCCGCCCTCGCGACCCCCTCCTAGCCGCCCTAGCGGCCCCGTCGCCTACCCCTGCGGCCCCGGCGCCGCCCTTCCCGGCCCCGGCGCCACCTCTGCTGTAGGAAAAGCTGAAGGTCATCTACCCAGACGTCAAAGTCAATGGCCCGACCCTCAGCGTCAAAAGCGAGGACACAAGGGGTAGCCATGACAGCAGTAGACTAGCAGCGCGGACAGTAGGGTAAGGGCAGTGCAGTGATAGAGGCGCTCCTCTTACCGGACAAGGCGGCTCGGGCGGCTCGGTGGCTCGGTAGGAACTGCAGCTCGGCGGCTCGGCGACTCGGTGGCTCGGGCGGCTCGGCGGTACGGCGGCTCGGCAGCAACTACGGCTCGGCGACTCGGCGGCTCGGGCGGCTCGGTGGTACGGCGGCTCGGCAGCAACTGCACCTTGGCGGGCAGTGCCCCGGCGGCTCGGGCGGCTCGGGCGGCTCAGGTGGCGCGGTGGCTCGGGCGGCTTGGGTGGCTCTGGCGGCTCGGCAGCAGCTCGGCGACGCCGGCGGCTCGGTGGTGTCGGCGGGGCCGCGTGGGGACGGCGGCGGTGCTGTGCCTGGCGGTTCTCCGGGTGCTTCGTCTCGGCGGGAGCCACTCTCTCCATAGGAGCTGCGTGAGTGGTTTGCCCGGTGCTGGAGGCGTGCTGCTGGAGCTGCAGTTTCTTCAGCTGCTGAGGATGCTGGTGCCGCGGGTCCCGGAGGTGCTCGTACTGGGAGTACTGGAGCTGCTGAGCCTGCGGGTACTTCTGGAGCTGGAGCTGCTGAGGGTGTTGGCGCTGAGGCTACTGCTGCCGGTCCTGGAGGCGGTCCTGCTGGGGGTGCTACTGGTGCTGCTGGAGGTACTGGAGCTGGAGGTGCTGCTAGCACTGGTGCTACCAGTGGGGGTACTGGTGCTGTCCTTGCTGTGTCAGGAGTCGCCGCACGGCCTCGGCCGTACTTCGTTCCGCTCCTTCAGCAGGTTCTTGGTCTCCCGCCCTCTACTGGTCCTCCTCCCTTAGAGTGTCCACAGCCTGTCCCGTCACAGTTACAGTTACAGCCGGCCTCCCCACTGCCTGCTCCTTCTCCCTACACTGGTCCTACTGGAGGTCTTGCTGAGCGTCGTGAGCCTGCGTCTCGCCCTACGTCGCCTGTCCCTGCTGCTCGCACTAGTGGTCGTGGTTCGCGTCAGCGTCCTCCTCCTGTCCCTGGCACACACCGGATGTCTCTGTGTCCGTCCACTGCTCCTCTGCGTGCCCCTTTGCCTTTTCCTCATGAGTCTTCTCTTCCCGCTCTCGCCGACCCGGAGTCGAACTCTCTCCGTGCCGCTAGTCCTACTGTCACGCGTCTCCTTGCTACTGTTGTCAGTGACCCTTCCTTTGAGTCAACTGCTGCGTCTGCCCTAGTTGTTGAGCTCGTCGACTTTGCTGCTCGCTGTCGCCTAGACTACGCTGCCAGTCTTGTTGCTGAGTCTGAGTCTGTCTGTCCTCCGTCCGTCGGGGGTGAGTGTGCCCTTGGCACGGACGTCCTTGAGGACAGGCAGGAGGAGTTCCAGTGTCTGGCTGCTGCTTCACCTCATCTCGTGTCCATACTACTTACCCCTGAGGGAGATCCGGATGCACTTGACATCCCGACTCCGCGCTCTTACGCGGAGGCGATAGAGGGTCCCTACTCCTCTCAGTGGCACGCATCTATGGACGCAGAGATGGCTTCCTGGAAGTCCACAGGCACCTACGTTGACGACGTTCCCCCTCCTGGGGCGAACATCGTCAGTGGCATGTGGATTTTCAGGGTGAAGCGGCCGCCGGGTTCTCCGCCTGTCTTCAAGGTGCGTTACGTGGCTCGTGGCTTCAGTCAGCGGCAGAGAGTTGACTACTTTCAGACCTTCTATCCCACCCCGAAGATGACCACTCTTCGGGCACTCCTGCACATAGCTGCTCACCGTGACTATGAGCTACACTCTCTTGACTTCAGCACTGCTTTCTTGCAGGGCAGCCTGCACGAGGAGATCTGGCTGCGCCGCCCAGTTGGCTTCACTGGGACTTTTCCTGCTTGTCAAATCATAATGTTGTGTAGGCTGTTGTGGGGTAGCCTATATGGGGTACACAATTCTAGGGTTGCATACTTGTATCACTTTCATTCCTTAGTCATTCATCCTCGTTTCTTCTCATGGTATCAAGCAGGTTC